TACTACTACTACTACTACTACTACTACAACTACTACTGCTACTACTACCACTACTATTACTACAACAACAACAACAACAACAACTACTACTACTACTACTACTACTACTACTACTACTACTACTACCACTACCCCTACTGCTACTGCTTCTGGTACTTCTGCTACTGCTACTACTACTACTACTACTACTACTACTCCTGCTACTACTACTACTACTACTACTACTGCTGCTACCACTACCCCTACTGCTACTGCTTCTGGTACTTCTGCTACTGCTACTACTACTACTACTGCTGCTACTACTACTACTGCTACTACTACTACAACAACTACTACTGCTACTATTCAAGAGAAGCAGAATATGGGACTGCCACCACAAATTTGGCTACGACTAGCAAAACGAACAACAGTAAACTGACGACAGAACCTGCATTGCTTCTGGTTTTTGCTTTCTGCAAAGCTAGTGAAAATGCTGAGACGTGCGACGTCTGGGATGTTCATGCGGGAAACTCTTTTTGTGCGCGGGTGTGTCCCGCCGAAAAGCTTGAGTGGACGTGCTGCGCCCCTCATTCCGGAAATTGTGCATCATCCAATTCTCCATGCCCTCCAGCGAGCAAGAGGAAACAACACCCGAGCTGATTAGCGTTGGTTGGAGTACTTGGCAAGACAATCGGTTTCACAGAGACAAAGCTTCTTCTCTGTGCAAACCCGAAGGCAGGGCTTAACTAGCTACTTGAAAGAACCGCATATGCACACATGTGCACCGCCGAATTCCCACAGGCTGGACACCTCACAAAACGGTACACACCTGGCAGTGCCCTGAGTGCCCAAGGCCGAAGATCTTGGGCAGAACCCCTGGGCGAAGCGGTAACTATGAACACATTAAATCAATATGATTTGTCTGTACAAAGTGTTGGCGAATGATGATACACTACATCACCTTTACCAAGCTGATTCCAACTCGTCTAGACGCTGACTTACATACCATGGCTGTCGTGTCTAGAGCCAACAGTTACGCATTTGACTCCAGGCTTGCTCCTGCGAACTTGCCCAAGCAGCCTCGAAGTGCGAAACCTTCACTACCGAATCCCGCGCTTCAGCAGACTCGGCAGCCCGAAACCTTTCCAAAAAATCCGGAACCCTACAGCGGACCCTAAACTCCTAAACCGCCAGGACAGGTCTGCCATCTTCGTCATCGTCTTCGGTACTGACGGCCAGCCGCTGCTCAGGGCCGAGGCCATCGAGTTCTCCCCCAGGGGAAAAGTACGAAGAGTCAAAGAAAAGCAGGTGTAAACTAGAGTGTGGTTGACGACGTTTTTTTAGCAGGGAAAACTGCTAAGACTAGCAGTTTAGCAGAACGAGTACTCGACTTCAGTTTCTGGCAGTCGCTGTACAGTACCAGGGACCGTGTGCCACTGCATTCCCAATTTGCGCAGCGAAACCCATGCGATACTTCTGACTTCACTTCCAGACCGTCAGTCTCCAGCGAAGCCAGCTGCTTCCTTTGGTTCAGGTCTACCGGGGACATAATTGCGAACCTCCTTGCGGCAGCCCTATGCTTGGTGCTCAGGTATGCCTACTTCATCCTACTTCCATGATGTAGGCTTGTCGGTCGGCGGTTAATCGGTAGGCTCATGCTTGCCTGCATGCGCATACGCAAAGGCCACGTATGTTCATAATCATGGGAACCATGTAACCAAATGAGATGGTTGTAGGCTTGACAACAAAAACCAACATGCTAGGCTTCTGTACTGTTATGGATGTCTTTGTGCATATATGCATATCGGCATATGTGCAAACAGGTAGATAAATACTTGTATATCTATATATGAATATGTATAAAGGATATGTGTGGGGTTTTAGAGGGGTGCAGTATACAATATGTATATGTATATGTGTGTATATATATATATATGTATGTATACACATGCATTGACATGCATACGGATATTATATATACATGTACAGGCTCAGGTGGATGGGAACAAAAACGCACGCGAACATGGGCACATATCTATCCGACATGCGTACACGTTCACATCCAGACACACACATACAGACATCTGTATTTAGTGATGGCAGCATTGAGCGGTGCAGTACCTAACAATTCTTGATAGAAACCGTAGGGCCCGAATCCCAACACCACCTGCAACTGGCACAATCAGAGCAACAAGAGCAGAACATCAAGTGAGTAGAATGAGGCAAAGAGCAGTCAGAAAGTTCACAGTACTCGGAGTCAGAACACTAGTCCGTGCCAGCTTCTAACTGCGCGCCTGTTTCAGGATTCTTACAGTGATCCTCTTTGGGTATCCATGTGGCGCCCTTGCCTAATATGGCTATTCGTTTAGTAACTATAACCTGTCAGCTTCAACGTACTCGCTGCAGTGGAGGCATGTGCATATTTAGATATTTAGAATTGTGTATATCAAAATATTTGTTTCATGTGTAGTAGATGCGGGTGTATATAGGCCCATAATTTTTCTGACATGTGTGCATTTACCTGTCTACCTATTTCTACATACATGTGCATGTGAATCATAATCACGGTGCTTAGAGAAATTGCCAGCAGAGAGCACAAGAATGGGCAAAGAACCAACTCGGCACATAGATGCTATGTACCAGCAGTCGGAGAGTAGCTCAAGAGTACACATTCTCTCCCTCTTATAGTTGGATATTGGAAGGGGGTCCGAGCAGGCAGGAAGGAGGTATGTAATGACAGCTGGGAACATTGAATTGCTGTTTGAGGACTTCGGTCTACTGGCCTCCCGCAACTGCCTCGATGGCGAGGCCACTTTGACAGAATCTTCGGCCAAAATCCCACCTTCCCAGAAGCAGAAACGGACTGTTCAATGTGAGCACATGCAAAAGGCAGAGCTCCGAAGGTGTCGCTTGAGGCGCTGACAGCAAATTGTAGTACGTCAAAAGGCCCAGGCTTCGTTGTGCACAGTGTGAGTGCATTCGGCGGGAGGGTTGCGAACAGTTAACAGATTTTGTTTAGCCATCGCATAGGCATAGGCCGGAAATGATGGCATTGTCAAAAGACGTGACATTGCGACGTCTGTGTATCTCTTTCAGTCATGTGCTCACAAGCCGTTCTCAGTTTGACGCATTCATGCAGAGCTAGAACCAAGGCCACGATGTGTACGACTCTCGGCAGTCCACAACCAACTTTCCCGAGTAGGGCAGAATGGGCTGATTGCAAATCCTCACAGCCTGCCTGTCACCTCTGTTCTGCGGTCTCTGCATGCAGGAATGATCAACATGCGACGGTTGTGCTTACCACGTCGACGTCTCGGACCAACCTTCGAGCCCGCCAAAACTTCTGCTTTCTCAATTTCTCCTAGGTTGCCTCCAGAGATGCGCAGGCCTGGGCAGTAGGCACAACTGGACCTGTCGTCGGCCGAACTTGGCCGTGCTTCGAGATGGCACTGGCACCGGCTACTGTCACGATTGTTGTTTTTGTCCGGTTACTAACGATTGATGTCCTTTGTTCACTTTGTTTTGAACATCTTCATTGGTAGTGCGTTTGGTGTGTTTGCAGTTTTGCTGCTCGGCTAGTGCAAGTGTTCGGCTGGTGGCACGAGTAGAACGACACCGGGCTGGCTATCCGCGTGATTAGTTGAGCTACATATGTTCCGAACTGCTCGGATCGTTTGCGGGGCTCGTCCTGGTCCTAGTCCTTTGTCGCTAGCGTGCACATGTTGAGAAGGTTTGGCATCATTGGCATGAATCCTTGACATTGCTCCGTTTGTTTGATGCACCAGATTTCTAAGTACGACCGGCAAGTACATGACATTTGACAGGCCTGGCGATGTCTCCGCAGCTGAGGAGCCAGAAATTCTATCAGCGGGCCGGCGCCCAAGACGGACCTTGCATTTCCAGCTGCGACAATCAAGCAGGTCCAAGCTTTGTTGATGTGCAGTTGAATCATTCAGTGGTGATGACGCAGCCTATGAAGATGACAAGCTGTATTTGCTTGCTCGTGCCAAGGTTACCTCGTTCGAGGAAGTGACGGCCTGCACCCGAGTGCAGCGGCCGGGGAGATGCTGCGGGGCTTGACAGTCGCGATATCATCCCATCATTCCATCGGAATGCGGCTTTCTGTGTGTAGCCTGAAAACAATGTAGACAATCAGTCGGATGTCCAAGTACTACATGTTGAACGACTATCAGTTTACGCTTGTCTGGTACAGTGCGTTTCCGGCCTGTGCTACAGTTTAAATACGAATATGAAGACATCCATCATGACCCCGTTCCGGGCCGGCGCCTCTTAGGAATGGAAATGGATATTGTTGATGGAGATGGACGATTTTTTGGTCGTCTTGGTCGTGACCCGGACAGGCGACAGGGCAGCTGGATAAGCTTTGCAACGGCGGATGCCGGTACCGGGATGGGCAGTTCAAGATTGGGGCTGGACTGGAGGGAGTTCGCTATGCACCGAGGGTTGAGACTCCAGTCGCCTGCCCTGACCTGTGCTCAAGAAGACGATGCAGTCAAGTTCAGCGCGCTACCCCTGACAAATGAGGCGCTCTCGGTACTGCTTGCGGTGCGGTGAGCACGGAGAGGCCAAGTATGCCAGACATCTGTTAATGGCAGGAACATCATGTTGTGCAGCGCAAATGCGTGCTTTGAAGTCTTTCAAGTTCGTGCTGGCCACACTAAGCTGCCCTGGAAGACGCGCATGTATTGCGACGGTGTCTACGAAGACTTCGCTCTTCTGCTGACAGACGACATGCAGGACACTTCCGTGCAGTGATGCGAACGTAGGCAGAAACGACCATCAGAAGTTGAACCTTTTCGGGCTGTGCAGGAGGTTCTGGGCGAGGTGGAAACCTTCAGCTCGGCCAATGCTCCCTTCAGCGACGCCGGAACCCAGGGAGACCCACTCATTGTGCTTGTAAGCAGTGTAGGCGTTCCACGTATGCGATGGCAGATATGGGCGTGCTCTCTGCAACCATCTCGGCACAAGCCTCGTGCGATTTGTGCTGTGTGTCGTCGTGGTTTTGGTTTTCAACCCTTTGGTGCAGCATGCCGGCAACTTGGCTTAAACCTGATGTGTAAAGCCGAGCCGATGCATGCCTTTACACCCGGAAAGAACCCTAACTCGATCGTGTCAGCTTCCCGTTGGCCTGAACCAGCATTCAAGCGTATTCTTAGCAGTTGGGCCTTGGACTCCGTGTGGATTGCTTCGGGCATCAAGCTTGACATATCTAGTGAATCTGGTGAATCTAGTGCATCGCAGGACATCTCAGGCAGGAATCCAAGCGCAACCTGGTAGTGACTGGTATTGTTGCGAGAGAAAGAAACCCACCATCCTCAGAGATATCAACTATTTACAGGCCGAGACAGGGAAAGAGTGCTCGAGTTCCATGTCAGGAAGGCGACAAGGTTCAGCTCAAGTCCTCCCAGGGCGAGATCTTCGAAGTGGAGCCTGAGGTGTGGGCGCTGTTAGCTTCGCCGATATGTAGTAGTGAAACACACATGCCAAAAGTTCCAGCCAAAATGACCGGAAGGTGGCATGCATGTCCACGTTGGTGAAGAACATGGTGGAAGACAGTGGCACTGACGAGGAGATCCCGTTGCCTAATGCACCCTGGCACTGCAAACGGCGCATTTCATTGTTTCTGGTGGATGAACATAGGGCGTTGAACGAATGGAAAGCTGGAAAGCACGTCGTCAGGTCAAGACGGCAATCCTGTCCAAGGCGCTGAGCTTGTGCTGCGTGGCCGTTCCTCTCTTGGCTGCCAGACATGTCTCGACAGGTGATCGACTACTGCAAGTACCACAAGGACCGCTCACTTGTCCGAGCTCTGTGAACGACAATGTGTAGCTTTCTCGGTTCTGCGAGCACAGAGGTCCGGGTCGTGAGTTTGATTGACCAGCTGGCAGGACAATCCACCTGAGGAGATCCAGAAGCCTCTCAAGAGCACCAATTTGGTCGAGCGGTTCCCTCAGCGACCACACGCCACGAGTCGTCAAAGAAGCTCGCGCATAATTTCAGGTGTGGCGTGTCAGAGTGGGACAACGAGTATGTGAACATCGAACAAGAGGTTACGATGATGTTTGAGCTTCTTGGTGAAGCTGCGTTGCATCTGACCAGATGTGATGCAAGAAGAGGTCCTTTTCGAGCTGATCCTTGCAGCCAACTACCTGGATATCAAGAGCCTCCTCGACCTGACCTGTGCAAAGGCGAGCATCTCAAGCAGACTGAGCAATGCCTGGCTCTAGGGTCACCGCGAACTCAACGTCGCTGTGACTTCTCGCCTTGATCATGGGCCTCAGGTTGCATCCATGATCAAGGGCAAGAACACTGAGGTCCACAATGGGTGTAAGTGAATTTGCAGCGCCGAGAATAAGCTATTTCTGACAGGAAATCCGCAAGCAGTTCAACATCGTGAACGACTTCACCCCAGAGGAGGTCCCTGTGAGAAACACCTGCTCCCTTGACGCACGGTCTCTGCATGCGCATGCCTGCCACAGGAGGCGCAGGTTCGAGAGGAAAACCGCTGCGGTCTCAGTTCAAAGCCGGTGGAGCCTCTCGACGCAAGAAGCGACAAAGCCAAGGTTGGTGTGAAGATGCTTGAGTGAGTAGCCACGCTTGTCCTGGGCCAGAAGGCCTTTGGAATGTGGCTTTTCGCGACGACCAAGAAGCTCAGCAGTTTGCTGGCAAGGGTTACCCAGCAGCGGGACACAAATCTCAAAAAATCTGTAGGAAGCCCGTGCACTCTTCGTACATGATAGCTACTTGTACTACCCGGCGCAGTAGCGAAGCATTGCTAGCTCAGTTGTCCGTACTCGCCTTCGCATGCACACGTCGTGAGGCCTGCAGTTCTTGAGCCATACACATCTTGCTGACCCATGGGTCCCCCGTTCTCCCTGTCCTGCATCCCCAGGGGTAGTGTGAGCGACGCCTCTCGAAGCGACTTCGGGGAGAGTTCGTCTACAGTCTACGGCCAGTTCAATCCTCCAACATCCTTTCCACCCTTCCTACAGGTACTGCGCAATGCTTGCCCGTCACGACCCGGGAGACCTCATTCTGTTCTCGTCCTTGCTCAGAATCCCTCTAAACCGCTGTCAGCATGGGTGATCTCTTGCCAGCCCAATTCGCCCAGAACCAGAAGAGTAGATCTTTGCAAGCCAGAAAAAGCTCGCGCATGCAAGGGGATGCCTGTGTTATTCTGGATGAAGTCTGTTGCTTGCCTTCGTCGCTCGAGGCCGTGGGGTGCATTTGCATGAAGGTCAGCGGCAGCCGAGATGGCGTGGATGCAGGCCGGAAGCGAGAGCAACTCCTGACAGACCATGCTTTCTTCTCGGAGAGATCATGGATTGAATCCTAGCAGAGCGTCCGTGCTGGATAGAAACCGATGAAGTAGGTTTGCCTACGCCAAGGTCTCATGCTGGCCATCTACTTTGGGGTGTATGAGCTCCACTGGGGCCTGGCAGGTTGAGCGTCCGGGCACGGCAAGAGCCCGTCACAGCATGTGCTTCGAAAAGACAATGCAGTCCCTTATGCAAGCATGCTGCTGGAACGACGTGTGTGGCGCAAAATGTGAAACTATTGCCAAAGTCAGGCTTGCCGCTGCCTTGCACACCCATGTGGCTCTAAACCTGAATGCCTTTTTTGCTAGGGCGGCCTGCGAGGAGCGCATGCCTGCTGCGGAATGTTGGAGCCCAGCGCATCGGCCAGAAGCTCGTGGTAGTCCCTTCAATGCAGATGGGAAGGCAAGTAAGACTCGTCTTGACGTACCTTCACACGTCTTCATCTGTATCGGTGGCTCTGGGTACCTCATTAACTGGAAACTGCTGTTTGATGGCGGCAGGAGAAGGGCTTGGCATGGTTCACCTCGCGGGCGGGACACCTCGTTCAGTGGCAGGACGTCTTGGAGGTCCTCCAAGACATTCGCTGTGCGAGGCCCGTGACCCTGCCCTGTTCCCAACATGAGCCATTGGTGCCACTAACAGTGGTATATGCACAGTCATAAGACCTGGCTTCGCACACCAGGGTTCATAGCCGTTGAACCGCTACACACCTGTTCGTTGAATCGAAGAGGGCCTCGGCACACGCGCGCCATGGGAGAGCAAAGTCGCCGCTCTGTATGTTTGCAGGCTGCAGGCAAGTACTGTCAGCTTCAATGCCGTTGCCTGCGGGCTCAGCCGGACAAAGCAGTGGCAGTTGGCTCAAGAGGTCGCTTTGACTTGATGGGACTGGGATGTGTTTTATACCGCGTTGGTTAGAGAGTATCCTTCGTACTTGCTGGGAGTAGGACGTGCGACTTCTTCCAGCACGCTCAGGTTTCGGTTCCTGGGGCTTCGAAGCTGTGAGATACATAGATGTAGTAAGAAGGCGGCACAGAATCTGGTGAGGTATTGGATTTAACTCTGAGGCCCAATACAGGCTGCCGGCTACTGTAGCGCAGAACACCTTCAAGGCTTTACGGCTCCGAACAAGTGGGTGTTGTCTCTTGAGGGTCGAGGCAGAGGTGTTTGTGGGAGGCTGTACTCCCGTATGCACTGGGTGGACCCCCGCTAAGGAGCATGTAGCAGCCACTGGCCATGAGGGGTGTAAGAGGTGTGGCGTGTTGTAGCCTTTGAACTTGCTCATGTCGTGAAGTCACGCAGTGGCAGCGTGCCCAAGCCACGGGGTCCAGGGCAGGGAGCTGAATTCACGGATGTGAGGGGTGGGTAGCGGTGCCTGCCCGGTTCGTTGCCTCAGGGCTTGTCCGAGTATGGGGGTTTCCGAAAATAGGGGACCCATATATAGTACCCTAAATAGTAGGATCCTTATTATAAGGACCCCAGAGTAAGGTACCCCGAATTTTCGGAAACTCCCGTATGAGTGCTGAGAGCTAAAGCTCGAAGGTCCTGTCTGCGCTGCGGGCTCTGGGGCTTCAACCGAGCGCAGCATCCCTGGGAGCTGCCGTGGGCTCTTGCTTCTCAGCTGTGGTCTATGTTAGAATATAGCACAGCGCATGAAAGAATAGCATAGTACAATATGGTGTCATTGCATTATAAACCATAGTATAGTATAGTATAGTATAGTATAGTATAGTATAGTATAGTATAGACAGTATACGTTTCACCTGTTTCACTCACTCCTGTTGATGCTCCATAGAAGGACGCTCATCCTGTGGTTTGCGGATCAACGGCGGTTGTATGCCAATGTTTGATGAAAACAAACAGTAGCCGACAATATTCTATAACATAGTATATTCCAGTCTAGTGTAATATTGTACCATATAAACGTGCAGGAGTCTAGGCAGTCGAAAGACTTGATGTTTCCGAGTCTCAGAGCCATGAGCGAGGAGCGTAAGGTCCACCGCGAACCAGGATGTAAGGATTTGCAGGGGCGGTAAGTACACGGCAGTCCCACGAGTTTAGGATGGTCGCTGAGTCACGCGTGATATAAATTCAACAACTGTTCGCACCCTTCTGTGCCTTGTGAAGGCCAAGCAGCTGGAGGACTTTGGCGGCAGGCAATCCGTCTACTGCACACTGCAAGGCGCAGAGGGCATGACGGCATTTCGCCATGTACTGTAGCTCACGTCCTTCCTCGAAGACTCAGATTCGGCCAATCCTGTGCAAACAGGAAAGCCTGGTGCCTGCAGACACTCAGTGCCGCGATTTGCTCAGCGATTGCTGCACATGGGCCCTCAAGCTGGCAAGCTGCTGAAGCTCTAATCGGACAGCTCGTCCAAAGCGGCGGTATCCTGAACATCGCACCTCGAAGCCTGCATTGCGTGGGAACTTTTGTTTAAGTTGTGCGTTCACGCACTAGACCCAGACAGAGAGCCAAGGCACACTTCAACGGCCAGCTAGACACTCTCAGCATCCAGGCCACATTAATCTCAATGTGCAAGCTTTCAGGTGGTAGGATGTGAACAGAACGCCGAAAGCCAATGCTTCATGGATCTCAGTCATTTTCGGCCTACCTGGCGCTGAGCGGGAGAAGAAGGTAATGTGTGGTAACGATAGTTGGGACAAATCGAGGTGGTGGGCTCTGGGCAAATGCATTGGACAAGGTCGGCAAGAGCATCTCGAAGCCGGATGTGTCTTGGCATGCCCTGCTCTTCTTCTTTTCGCCCCGTCAACCATGGAGCCTCCAGCTGCTGCAACCGCAACAATGGTGACAGTGGCGAAGGTTGTAACTTTCAACACCATGATCCACGCGACCACGGCAGATGTCTGGCAGCTCTCATTCAGCTTTCTGCAGAATATGCGGCGTGCCAGGTTAGAGCGCACTGTGAAAAGCTCCTCGGCTCGAGCTGTGGTGTGCAGCTCCACGCAAATTCACTACAACATAAGACTATAAGACAATACTGTAAGATACTATGATCTACTATACTAATACTAATACTAATACTAATACTAATACGAATACGAACACTAATACTAATACTAATACTAATACTAATACTAATACTATACTATACTATACTAGAAATATACTATAATATGCTCTAAACTCGAATATTATACTAAGGTTACGGTGCTTTGGCTGCCGGCCTGGAGTCCCGCTGGGTGTTGGCCGTCCTGTTGCTTCGGAGCATGCACCGCAGCAGCGTGGAGATGAACGCCATCGTCAAAGGTTCCGTGGCAGGAGCCTGCCTGCTTAGGGACGTAGGGTTTTGGGGTGGGAGTGGTGTGAAACATGCTCCCCCTACCTTTCCCAGCAGAGGCGCCGCAGGCTGGATGGGTTTGGGGCTTTTCGATTTCGAGTCAGCATGTAACAGACACTGCATGCCTGGCATTCAGCAATGCTAGGAGCCCTTGCGGAAGATGGTGCCTGGCACCATGCTTCTTCGCAACTCGCACCGATCAGGCTTAATCAGGCATCGGTAGTGCGGCAGACGGGTTGCCATATTCACACCGTTTTGGGCGTCCCAGGCTTTGCGGCGATGCTGTCCAGCTGCACCGAAGGATGGTCACGGCTGCGGTCCACAGTTGGCAAGGCAGGCCTCTTCCATGATGTTGTGATGGCACTTCGTCCAGCATGCTTCTGTGTGGTCCAAACACCGCATGGGCCTAGACTCCCAGACCTGCAGGATCACTTCAGTGGCTTGATCTCCTGGAGTGCCGGTGCGTGCGACAAGACTTCAGCATGTGGGCCGCAGCGACCACATCAGTGAGCAGGTGGAACAAGTCCTTGCCCAGAACTCAGGCTCCGTGCAAGAGCATGTTCATGAAGCATGGTGGCCAGCTTCAATACTCATAAAAACATTGCGGAGCAGCGGTTCTGCCTCAGCAACTGGTGACAGGGTATATGGTATACCTTGATGCTACTTGTATGTCTCCAGGTCGATTTCATTGGTCTGTGCGCAGCGTGGCATGCGCTCCAACATCGTGGCCATCGGCACGTTGGCGAGGCCACTCCAGGATGCGCAACACTGGCAGGTGCCTGGGCATGTGGAAAGCGATAAGTGCTTTACAGTTCAGCTTAGCTAAGCTTGCAACACAACTGCAGCAATTGGACCGTCAGAAGCTGAGGAAGCCGGCCACCTGCTTCAGACCAGTAAGCAGCATCACCTGGAGGTCAGTACTGACTGCATCTAGCAGACTAGCATGTTTGATGTACAGATACGCGCGGGTTCTTCCAAGGTAGACCGAAATGCAGGAAAGGACGGAGAGATTCAGAGCCGGAACAAGAAAGGGTGCAAACGAGGCAACAAGGTAGCAGCAGAAAGCCACGGCTTTGCCAGGACATGCCGAAAGCACCAACGCCATCCTACTGTTTAGTTGCCGGACTAGTTCACACCACGTAACCTGGGGCCTGTCAAGGGATGGCGATTAAAAGGACGGCCCAGGATCAAAAGAGAAGAGTCGCGCTTCGCCCTTGGGGCTGGTTGGTGGGCTTGAAGCGCAGAAGATGAGATCTGTGTGCGTGTGTGTGTGTGTGTGCATGTCTTTGTGCGAGCAAGGGACTGCTCCTGGATTTCTCTCTGTCGCTCTCTCTCTCATTCTCTCTCTCTCTCTCTCTCTCTCTCTCTCTTTGCCTCTCTATTTGCATGCATGCCAGGTAGGCAGGTAGATGTGTATAGCCAAGCCCTTTACATCGAGTGTAATGTGTGCAAGTCCTACCCAATCTATCTCATCATTATCTAGCTTAACAACCGAATTTACCAAGGAATCGGCAAAGATGAATTCGTTGATGGTTCATGAACCTTTGAATCAGCTTATCCAAGCCTGCCATGACTGTCCTTGTCACGGTCATCTGACTCCTGCAGTTGTTTGGATTGCTCCCCTCAAATTCAGCGTGCACCTATCTGAACGGGAATTTCAAAAAACAGGGGACCAATTGTAGAGCTTGAACATGCCCAAATCGTAAGACCCTTGTTGCAGGGGTTGTAAACAATCAAATCACCCTGGTTTTACTTGGAAAGACAGCACCCAACTGAGTCAAATTCTAGGTCTTCTGCTGAGGGTCTTACCGGGCAACCCGACCAGAGCCACGTCGCTCCAAAGAATTTCCGTGGCTCCCTGGGACTTGTCTGAGCTCAGCTCATACTTAGCACGCGAGGAGTAGGAGAAATTCAGCACCCAGAAGTTTGGCACCCCTGCCAGGCAAATCTTGTCACGTTTGGCATGCTGACATCTGCCTGCAGCAGCTCGCAGTGTTGGCCAGCTTCCATACAGGCCTGGCTTCGCTTGTTGGTGGTGTCAGATATCCTGAAACTGCCATGGGTAGTCCAGCGGATCGTAGAGCAAGGATGTCAGACTAGTAGCAGGAACCGCTTGCTGCAGAGGTCTTGGAAGCAGCATGTTCTGCAGCTGTCCTACCTGATACAGATATACACAACGTGGCAGCTCGTGGTGCGGCCAAGCAAGGCACCTTGCTTGCAAGCATGGTTGGTGCATCTTCAAGGTGTGCCTTCTACAGGCAGCAATGCTTCTCAAGACTGTGAAAGATTTCTCACACGGCCTTCGATGAACCGTCATGTCCCGCTACGGCAGCCACGAGTGCATGCAGACTTCAAGAACTTCCCGGCATCATGAGACATAGAAGTAATGTATAGTTAAGTTGCAACATGTTGCGGCTTTCCACGAGAAGATGACATATCGCGATCCCAGGAAAGTGGGAAATCTCTGGCGAACTAATCCGAGCTGTACGCCGACGGCGTTTGCAAGCAGACGGGCAAACTCCAGCAAGTGTTTGTTCAGGCCAGCTGAGTTTACGGTCTTTTTGTGCCATGCAACCACGCAACACCAAAAGCACAGCTATAGTCATCAGCTTGCATAGCCGCGCAAAGCCACATTCCACATGTACTGTGCTGGTCATGTGGTGAGCATGATCGAGAGCCACCGCCTCGCACTGTCAACTTCAAAATGACCTGTCCGGTGATCAATGAGCCAGGGGAAGTCAGCAGCCATGCAGGTGTCGCGATGCAGCACCGTTGGCGGCATTGCCTGCAGCTGGTCGCTGAAATCACGACCCTCAGCTTGCCACTGTCCGGCCATTCGCTCGAAAGAATAGTGGCAATCACCAATCACCCGTTCCCAGCTTGGCCAACACTTTTAGGAATGAGGCCTCGAGGCTTCTCGGCCTTGGAGGTCCTTTCAACTGCAAGCGAATCCACAACAGGCTGTTTCGGTGCCCCACAGCTACTGCAACAGCCTTGTCGCTCGCGCTATGGAGCGGAGAGCGGTATGGGCTCGCAGCATTGACGTCGATCATAGGAGGATCATGAAGCCGTCGCACGCATGGTGCTGTATGTGGCGGTCGGGGATCCCTGCCCTGCCTAAGCACCCTTTGTACCAAGCATGTTTGTTTTGAGTTTCCTCTTGGACATGAAAAGCCGCTTGCAACCTGGTTAAGGCCCACGGACCTCGCGAGTGTGGCAGGGGCTTTTGCCCTGGTCCTTTGTGCAGAGGCAGCAAGATGGCAGCTGGTTTTGGCCTGGCTAAGGCTGGAAGCAAAACCAACACGGGCTTGGGTTCAGCCCCACATGCTGTATGCTGTAGATTACATAGTCTCTTTTTGCTTCGGAACATCGACGCCCAGCAGTTGGCATGCCTCACGGCAGTGTTTGTGAATGCCGGCATTGCCGTAGCCCGCCATCAGGGCTTCATCACAGCCATCTCAAGAAGCCCATGCAGCAGCTCTTGCAGCGCTGGCATCTACCGGCAAGGCAAAGTTCATGATGCATGGTGATCATGGTGGAGTTGGTGGTTGTGTGCGAACTGTGGGCGTGAATGAATGGATGCCATCTAACACACTGGCCCTATAGGTTACAGAAGCAAACCAAGGATACCCAACGACGGGAAGATGCGAGCTCCCAGTAAAGCCTGAATCTGTCGAAGTGTGGAGCTCTCAAACACAGATTCCACGAGGTGACAATACATTAGAATAGAATACTGAGACCTGAGAAAAACAACAAACAAACAAAAAACATATATGTATACATACATACATACATACATATGTATTTACATACACTGGTGTTGGTGTATGGCAGGTCCTCGAAGCTCATGGGCTCCTGGCCTCTTTGCGTGCTCAGATGCTCCGCTTGGAGTCGTCCCATCTTACGAATGCCCTGGCAGTAGCCCGACAAGGCCAGCCTTGGGCTGCTTGGAAAATCAGAGCTTCGCTGAGTGCTTTTCTTGTTCTTTTAACTCTAGTAACTTGTAGCTGTTAGTTTTGCAGGCAACATGTCTTGTGCAGTTTGCGGCTGAGGTGACCAGCCTCGAACTGTTGAGACTCGGGCAGCTGGCGGGACTTCACTTGCACCAGGCCGTTTGGCACGCAGGCGCTTGCTTGCTCACGGGTCGTCAAGTTTCCCATCGAAGCGCAATGCTGCAAGCACAGGGGTCGACGCATGCGGCAGCTGGAGACATGCCCTGCTTCTCCTGGCATCTGCGCAGCCTCAGACTCAGACGCACATCGCGAAAGCAGGGGGAGGAGCTCTGCCTGAGGTCTTGCCATGTCGAGCCGGACGTGACTTCTCTGGCTGCAGCTACAAATCGTGCCTCCTTGAGGCTCCCTATCACTTCTCAGCGTGTCAGAGAATACTTAAGCCTCTCAGGGTGGCAACTTCCACACGACTGACACGGAGGTCCGTTCACTCCACGCTGCGTCTACTTCATCAGCTTCAGCGGATGCATCTTTGCCAACTGCGTGCAGACTCGAGATGGCTACCGTAGGTTCCAGGACGGGTGTGTATGTACAACCCGACCAAGCAGTGCGAGATGAGATCGCAAGATTGTGGGCGGTTAAAGTGCCAGTGAAACTGGTGGCTTGAAGGGGCGTGATGCTACCAGCTCTGCACAACAGAAAATTGAGTGCATCTTCACAAGCGATTCGGGCCGCGATTGCTGGCATGTGCTGGCATTCTGATCAAGTATGTGGGAATGTGCGGACAGGTGCTATTTTCAGCCTCACTTGCGCTTGGCGGCTCAGAGCTGCATTATGATCATTTCCGGGTCGTCTAGTGTCTATCAGACATTCATGCATCCCGGCCACATGAGCATGACATATCTGTTGCTACTGTGCATCTGCATATACAAGATGCGACTACTTTGTTCATAGTCATCCTTCGTTTATGCACTAATGGTAAACTCTTTTGGTCTTTAATACAGTATAAATTGCTGTTTGGAGCTACGGCCATGGCGAGTCTCAGCTCCCTGGCTGGCCTCAGCCACCGCCTTGAGGAGAGTCGAGCGCGACAGCTCCAAGAGAGGCAAGGCTGCTGAGGACATGCACACAACAGTCCATCGGAGTACTTCTGCTCACATGCCAGCGATGCGCCCAGAAAGGGTGTGCTTGTGCTCATCTATGCTCATGTACTGTTTATGTATGTATGTATGTATGTATGTATGTATGTACGTACGCACCCGCGTATGTATGTATGCATGCATACATGCATGCCAATAACCTGTAGAGAGGCCTGACAAACTGCCTGCCTAGCTCATTGGCAAGCACACGAAGTGCGCGCACACACATGCGTGCATACATACAGACATACATGCAAGCAAGCGTGCATGCATGCGTGATCATGCGTCCATGTACATATGCACATATACTTGCCGGCGCAGACATGTACATGTACATATACACATACGTGTACGTGCACAGACACATACACAATTAACTACAAACATACAGACATACATACCGTTACATACCTACATACGTGCGTATGTGTGTACGTACGTACGTACGTACGTTCCTGTACATATACATATTACATATACATATATGCATGTAGTGTTCATACATAAAGTACCTTTAGATAGATAGCAGCTAGACATATGTCGATATGCCGCACACAGCATGGCAACGTGTCAGGGTGTGGAATGCTCGGGCTTCGATGTGCTTGTCAATCATTTCCTTCATGTCAAGTCCCAACTTGCATGAGGTCTTCGCAAGCCTTGCAGCTGATGCGCACAGCCGTGGAGTGGAAGTCGTGGGAGGACCAGCTGTTACGGCTACGGCTTCCTTTTACTCAGGGTTGGGCTTAGGGCCTTTGGGGCCAAGGCTCTCTAGCAAGTAACCTGAGCCTGAACTTTCGCGAATGAGCGGTTCATACAGGACCTTACGACGGGAGAAGGCATGAGGGTCTAGTGAGGAGCCGGGTGCTATGGAGCAGACCTGTCTAAGGCTCAGAAGTGTGTGGCTAATGCGGTTCTAGTGAGGAACGCACTGCTGGCAGCAAGAAGGTGGAACTTCGCCATGTCAAGCATCTGCTAGGAGCTGCGGACCTTGACGAAAGCCTTCCAGCGATACCTGGAGGTGGTGACGGGTGGTGTGGGATGGACTGAAGAGGTAGAAACATGGAAATGCTAGTCACATAGTGTTATATTATACCTTTTTATCGTATATTCCTGTATATTATATTGTGATATTGTGATATGTACGATATTGAATATATGCTGCCTCGGGTCCAGGGCCAGGCGGTTTCGCAGAGATGCGCCATGCTTTGTTCCAGAAGTTGCAGAACAGGCAAGCTTGAAGGAGACTCAAAGTCATGCATTAGGCTTGTTTGGTTCGCCGGCTTTCTTGCACACTGCCCTCATCTATGTTCCTTCGAGAGCCTGTAGGCCATTCGCGATGCCTGCTGGTCAGTGCAACTGATTTCTGACTAAATGTTTCGACGGATCTGCTCCGACGGAGCGCTGCGGCATCTTACCTCGCAGGAGATTCGCGAGACTGACCTCCGAAGAAGGCGAGACATTGAAGCGAGCCTCGGCAGGAAACTTTCTTGCCAAGGCTTCAAGCCCCGGTTTCCCCCATCGACTCTGATTGTCTCGTTCTCCAAGGAACCTCTCTCGGGTGTGTGCGGCACGAGATCAACTCGCTCACGTCACGGCGCACAAGACAGAAGCGACCGAGGAGGTGACTCTGTGGCAGACAGACCACAGTGTATTGCGGGTCCTTTGTTTCGACGCCTTTTGTTTCCCTGAGCAGAAATGTCGGGGTTCTCGCCGGCCGGGTCAAGACAGTGGGCTACTGGCTCGTATTGTGGTAAGATATATATATATATATATATGTATATCTATGTGTGTATGCTTTGGTACACGGGTGGTACGTAAGAAAACTGAAGCCATCGTGGCTCGTCGCAGCAGCTGGGTCGGTCATTGCAACATGCTGCAGCAACTGCCGTAACCATGCACATCCACGAAAGGTGGCCCGGCTTTCTGCAGACAACGTGGAGCTACGACGACAACTGGAGTTTGATGCGCGACAGTTCGTTGCTCTGCTCCAGAACCTCAGCCCGCATATGCGTGAGAGTCACCAGGCGATCAGGCGATGCAGTAAAGCTGATGTCGAAGATGGGTCCGACCTGTGCTGCAAACTGTAATCAGGTGCAGCTCGCCTTGTGAGTGCCATACTAAGGAGCTGCGCGCATTTAGAAAAGCAGCTGGGTGTTTTGAGACTTGGAAAGATCTTACACATGGGGAAGTCTAATTGCGAGGCTGTTCTTGCCGGAGAGTTTGCATCGGCGTTGTCGAGCTATTTGCTGCACATTACAGTGGCATGCTCAGTGGCTCAGGAAGTGTAAAGATCGAGATCCTGGCAAAGAGCCCATTGCAGAGACCGGCGAATCGGACGAAGTTGGTTTTCAGAGAGATGTCAAGTCTGAGAAAGAGGTGCCACTGGGTGCGACGCTTCCGGATCCAGTGGGAAGCGACAGCTCAAGCAATTCGAGACCTTTATGTCGAAGGCCTGCCAGCGCGGCAGGTGTGGAGGCTGCAAGCGAGCACGAAGCGCTTTCCATGCCACCTTCGATTAGATCTGGCAACTGTGGCACGGCCCAATCTGCTTCCGGGCTGGATGCAAGTCCAACAGCCAGCTTACAGACGCCGGATGCATCTCCAGCCACGGTCGTTGCCCCTGGCGAAGCTCTTCCGGCTGCATCTCCTTGTTCACGGAGTCAAACGTCGGAACCTACGTCTCAGACAAAGAATCAGAAGAATCAGAGACTTCTTCGGGACTTGCCTTTAGATGCCCTCGGCATGCTGCAAAGCCTGGTTGCTGTGAAGCAGCATCTGTCCGAGTCTTACAGTGCCTGATTCTCATCCTTTCCAATCAGTCTTCGACATAGACATAGAGAGCACTCTGGCAGATCTTGTGTGCGGAAGGTTGCAGCAGCAAGCCGCGCGAGGAGCATGGCACTCGGATTTCTGCGCAGATGATGCCTATTTAACTCGATCCGAGTCGAAAGATGTGGTTTTCTCGGCCCCAGAACAGCCAAGGAGCCTGCCCTCTCCCCCAGCGATGGGACGCCGGCACGGAAAGATCCCACAAGCCCCGAGCATGGCCAGGATCTGTTTAGTGCCATCTACGATGGGAGGGATGCGGCCAGATCGTTATACTGTAGAAAACTTTATAATATCATCATAAAAAAGTATGTCATAGTCATAGTATTATAGTAAAGATTAATATGGAATTACATGAACTACCTAGTAAATATATACACGGCATTGTGTCAGGCTTGTGCTAGTGGTTCCATGTGACTACCGTTTGACCTTTCGCCGGTGAAGAGATTCTGGTGGTGATTGGCAATGTCGAGAAGCAGATTCAAGTTTCAAATGTATGGAGCTATTTGGTGCCGATGTCCTTCCAATCTTAGGCTGCGCAGCACTGCATCCAATGTCAGGTGCAAGGCATCTCACGGAAAGCATCGTGTGCGCGAAAGGATGATGACTCGACGAGCACCGCCATGGACAGCGGCACATCGCGTAGCAGCGGAGTCTTGGACGAGAAGCACAGCTAGAACAAACAGCGGATCCATGATGCAACGTCGAGGAATACGAATACGAATACCTGGTGAACGTCAGATGCGGCTGATGTGCTGCTGAGGTGGCGGCCACGCTCACAGTGGTTACGAAGGCCGTCCATTGGAGTTGTTCCAAAACCCTGCGCTGCATTGTCGCATATTGTCGCATAAATGGGTTGGGCTTGTGATTTTGGAGGCCCTCGTGCCGTGCAGCCGGAGGAGCCGAATCTGGCCAAGGCTCGGCGCAGGAGAGGAGATACAGATTCCGGAGCTGAAGGTCCAGCTACATGTACAACCGCTCACGATTAAGATCACATGCAAAACCACTGCAGGGCATGCTATCCGACAAGTTGCCGGGGTCGCCACGTCCGCGCCTCGCGATCCCGTCTGGCCAGTCTCAACGTTTTGCTTCGAGTACAGCAGAAAGACGTAACCACGGACCACGTACCATGCAGTCACTATAGTCCTCTTAGACCTCCAGGCTGCCTCGTGCGAAGCGGCATTCGCATACGTACCTTAGACCGCACTCTGTCAACGACCAGACTATCGGGCAGTGCCGTCGGAATTCGGCGGAATGGCCAACTGGATAATCCCCGCACTTTGCGCCGGCAGTGTCCGAAGTCCGCAGGCCTATAACTCCTGAAGCCGAACTCACCCCGACGCGTAGATATGCATTCAAGCTCAGACACACCGAGCTCCAATCTGACACGCATCGATAACCACTGCTCTACAAGACTGTCACAAGACAGCACATGCGGCCAAGAGTACTCCACGGACGGAAAGGTAAGGAAAGCGGGGAAAAAAAGCAGAAACCCTTCAGAAAGCCCTTTTTAAAAAAGGCCCAAGCAGCCGGCCCTGCGACGTGGCCTCGCCTCTCCGGCCCTCTGCGCTGGCAGCCGCCGAGGCCGCGCGTTGGGCACAGGCACGGCCGGCCTCGGATTTTTTCGGTTTTTCTGAGCTTAGGAACGGGGGTGGGGAGGGCGAGGTTACATCCTGCAAAGTAGGATTCTTCATCGAAAGATCCCGATCCCACATAAGGTACTTGTACGTACCCTGCTGAATTTTCTAAACTCGCATTGAATCAGCTGTTCATGTCATGTTGAAGTCGATAGACGTGAGCTACGCTAGTGTCATCGAGTATCCCCGTGCCGAGAACCAGAGGCTGGGAGCTTCAATCACACGACAACCTGGGGTGCCGCTCCGCTTTTGGTACTTTTCTTACATGTACTAGCATCCCGGTGCACTGTTTCGTGTTATTTCTTGAACTGTTGTCGTCCAGGTTGGGTTGTTACGCGCCTCCGACACTTCCGAGGTCTTGCAATGTCTGGCAAAGATACTGGTGCTGGTTATGCCTGCTTGTATAGTTCGGTCAGCACGTTGAACCTTCTCTTCAAGTGGCACCTTGCACGTCAAAGGGGGTAAACTAAGCGACCCGGCGTTGTTGCAGCAACTCTTGATAGAAACACGGCTGCTCCCCGGAGGTCAAGCATGCTCAGCCTGCTGGGCACTCAAGAGCTGGGGGATGGTTGGCAGAAGGAGACATCGTCCCTGTGTTCAAAATGGAGGCTGCTGGAAGCTGCAGATCGCAAGCCCACACGTATGAGTAAGATGCAGCGGGTATATTTCCTGCGTACTGCGAAACGGGAACCCTGTCATTTAACACCACGGGCCCTCCAGAGACCCAAAAAAAATCACAAAGATTTGCACATCGAGCTCTACCATCAAACTACTGTCGCCGGACTTGCCTGGACTGAGCTCGACATAACCAAGCTCTGCTGTCGCACTTCAATGTGGTGGCATCCTGACAAATTGATCGACTCAGGCCCCGATGATGTGGGAACCAGTGGCAAGCGAGCACCGGCCTTATGGCAGCAACCGTCAGCTACTGGACTTCGTGCTCGCGTGCAGACGCTGACAAGATGTTGTAGCCCTGGGCAGCTGCACGAAGCCATGAAAGATGTTTGTTCTAAGGCCTAGAACTGCTACCGAGAGCATCGTGTCTCAGCCAGTAGCTTCATCAAAAGGCATGCTTTTGACGCAAAGCTGGCCGGTTTGTACACCCGCACGTCTCCAGCATCTTGAAGTCCACAACGTAGCTTCGAGCGCGACCGATTGTGCTCGCTTCTGTGCTCGGTTGGGCCAAAGGCAGTTCAAACCCAGATGTTACAATGACTGCCGATGCCTTGTCATGCGTGCGAATGCCAAGGACTTTGTTGAAAGACAGTTCTATTTTTCTTGCAGCACATCATTGCAGGCCTACCAAGAACGTCCTGACCAGCAGCCTTTCACCAGCTGCTTTACCAGGCTCGACACTGCCGCAAACTGCAGTTCGTGGGTGGCGTTACGCTACCGCTCCAAAAGTGTTGCAACTAGATATCAACCAGATCTATCCTTGAGGAAGGCAGCCACCCGATTCAACAATGCTTGGAACCCGGGATGCTTCGAATGTCCCGCATGCGAATGTGAGACTATTGTTCCGACTTCACAGATCTGCATGAAGTTGAATTTCAACAAGTTTTTAACCACGGGAAGGCATGCCTTGGCTGAGGATGTCCCCAGCTTCTCAAGTTACACCGGGTCATCAGTGCCGAGGCGGGGTGCTGTTCGGAGGGATTCGACTTAACGGCTTTCAGGGCTCGCAGCGGCGCAGGCACAGCATGCCTAGCAGCTCGCCCATCAGACCGTTGATGGTCACGAGTTGGGCTACAGCGGCCCCAACTCGTTCATTGCATGAATCTCTGTAGCCTTTTCTGCCCTCAACCTCGAGCTTGACTCGGCACGGGATTCTGAAATTGGAGTGCTGAAGCTTGAATACTTTCAATGCGTGGATGGCCGTAAGTTTCAAGCATAGGTCAAGCTGGTTCAAGCAAGGGCCATGTTCCAAGAAGGTTTAGCTCGAGGCAACGATTAAAAGCTTTGTGTTCTTTGTTGATTCGTTTCTAGTACCTGATGTGGACGCAGCACAGAAGTGCTTGATCATAGCTTGAAACTTCGAGAGGCCATGGGCATGCTGGTGGATCGCCTGCAAGGTCGCCTGTGAGATCACAAGTCCGGGCAGGCCTGGGCATGCACATGTCTATCAGAAGCACGAACGGGCAATCGCGTTGCTCGAAAACTCTGAAAGGCAGTATAGGCATAAGTCTCTTCGGAAATACTTCGCCAACCTGTAATTGTCAAGCAAGTCTTGAGTGTGAGCACTTGTCACTCCGCGCATCAAAGACAACGCGATGTTGGTACAACGGCAGAGCTGACGAAGGGTCATGGGTTCATTGAGTCTGGATTGAGGTGCGTGCTTGAAGAGAGTGCGTGTTCATCTTGATACTAGTAGAACCCTTCACCTTTGATGGCTGTGCCCTCAAACGCCGCAAGATGCACTTGTTCCACGTGCTGTGGGCAAGGTAAGGCTCTGATTCTGCTTGATAAGAGTACCTTCAAGATTGAACAAGTACTCCGATTGGCACTCCCACTGCTGTTACGACATGTTACGACCCCTGCCACCAGCATGTCCTATCCTCCTCAATAAGCAGCAGCGGTTCTCTTTTCTTGGCACAAGTCATTGCTGTAGCGACGAAGACGTGACGGCCAGCCGGATGCTGTCTAGTCATTTGCACTTGGAAGCTGTCGTTTGCAAGCCAAAGAAGAGAATTGCCGCAGTGGCTGTCGTCGCCCTGTGTTTTCAGTGGAGTGGTTGCCAGATAGATACAAAGGCCAAAGCTGCAGATGCCTCCTGAGAAAAACCAGAGAGAGGCTCCAGACTCCTTGTACTCAAGCCTTCATCCCCGAGCCTCGCCCCAAGGGCCAAGCCCGGCGCCGGGAATCGCCCAGACACCACCAGATTTGGCGGAGCCGCCAGTACCTCGGGAGTTGGGCGACGGATCGCAAGATTGCTATATCTCTAGGTCCCCATACCTGCTCCACCTTTTTGAGATCATGATGCCGGTTGCACGTTTAGCTCAAGATGACGTGACAAAACGAGAGCCAGGTTTGTGTCCCTAGTCGAAGGTTTGGCCCTACACATCCCGTTTTCCTTTGTGCTCTAAACTAGCAATCGTGGGCAAAAGATTCGTTGGTTTGGAGGGATGCAATCACGAATCTGCAGGTAATGTACAAGAACAGGAACTTTGAACTTGCGTGGCAGGTGTTCTGAGTGCAATGGGAGAGTCTCTGAGTTTTGGAACCCCCCATCCTCAGCTGCAAGAGGCTGAGAGCTTCCTTCAAGCAGCTGCCGGCGCGGCACCCTGGTTTTTGTGTTTGACGCGGGTGGCACCAGCACCGTCATATATTCGATCCGAAGTGTGCAGATGCCACACTCAGCATGAGATTCCCAGCTCTTCAGCCACTGCAATATGCAAGTGAACAGATTCCATTCATACGGGTACTGAAAGGTACCATGGCTTCACCGCCTTTCTCACCTGCATGGAAGAGTTGAATTGACACGGTCTGCATGTATTCGGCAGTCAATGCATGCATCATACATGCGCAAGTGCCTGCAGAAGGTGTCGCCCATAATTTTGTACTCTGGCTAATTCCATCCCAACGGCAAAGGCAGTGCCACCACTTCCGTGCCAGTCGCCACGATCGCTGGAGACTTAGATCGTAAGTTGAACCGTCCCTTCCGATGATGAGTTACATTTGTCTCTCGCTGGCAGGTTCCCGGCAAGGATCGCTCTTGTTCTGTAGACCTCGTTGGTCGCGCAGACAGTTGCATGAATCATTCATCCTCTTGCTCAGTTTCAACATCCACATCAGTCAAGGAACATATGGCCAGGAGCCTGTCATAGAATAGTCCCGTGAACACTCTCAAGCTGGCAATAGAGCCTGTTCGGCGGCTTGGAGCTGCAGTCTGAGCTGCCCGCATGTTCTGCAACATGGTCCTGGGCCGTGGGATTTGGTAAAACTGAGTTTCGCATATTTCTGGTGTGCGTCCTCTGCAACACCTGGTGGAACAGAGAGGCTTCAACAGAGCAGTTGTTCCCGCTCCTTCTGGCCTTTTCCCTGGGCATTCCGATATTCAATTGTCACAGCAATGACAGCAATGACGCCCCAAAGCCTGCAACTGTTCGAAGGCCTCGTGGGGCACCGGCCCATGCATCTCCGGCTCCCAAGCCGGAGCCTAAGTCTGAGAAGCCTAGGATGGATATTAGCCACTTGGTACGACGAAAGCACGTGCAAAGAAGCTTGGGTCCAACACGTTTGTAAAGCAGGCGTGATGTTGTGCTGCCGACTGCCGACTAGTCTCGACCCGACAACAGCATCATACCCATATGTACGTGTGTATATATATATATAGATACGTAGGTTACAGTTATATACTAATCACCAGATGCTGTTCACATCCCGGGCAAGCTTCAACAGTGTCCGAGCCATAAGAGCGATGGCGACTGGAAACATCATGTTGCTCACCCTGAGTCTGAGCAAGCCAGCAGTGCAAATCGCAATGTGTTACTAGGAGTGGTCGTCGTCGTGGTAGTGGCAGTTGTAGGTTTGGTTGTTGGCGTCGCCGTAGTAGTATTAGTATTAGTAGTAGTAGTAGTAGTAGTAGTAGTAGTTGTTGTTGTTGTTGTTGTCGTTGTCGTTTTTGTTGTCGTTGTTGTTGTTGTTGTTGTTGTGGTTGTAGTGGTTGTAGTGGTTGTAGTGGTTGTTGCTGTAGCAACAGCAGTACTCGCCATCGTCGTAGCAGTAATAAACAGAAGTAGTGACAGGAGTAGTACTTGTACTAGTAGCAGCTGTAGAGTAGTAGGTAGTAGGCAGTAGCAGTCGTCGGAGTAGCAGTAGTAGCAGTGGCAGTGGCAGTGGCAGTGGCAGTAGCAGTAGTAGTAGTAGTAGTAGTAGTAGTAGTAGTAGTAGCAGCAGTAGCAGAATTAGTAGTAGTAGTCGTCGTCGTAGTAGTCGTCGTAGTAGTACTAGCAGTCGTCGTCGTGCAGTGGTGGTGGTGGTGGTAGCAGTAGTAGCAGTAGTAGTAGTAGTAGTAGTAGTAGTAGTAGTAGTCCTACCAGCTAGGATGTCGTTACAGCGGCAACCACAGTAGAAGTCGTTGTGCCGCCACCATTACAACTACTGTACTAGCAGTACTGCTGCTACTACTACTACTACTACTACTACTACTACTACTGCTATTACTACTACGACTACTACTACGACTACTACTACTACTACTACTACTACTACTGCTACTACTACTACTACTACTATACCAGCAACACCACCACCACCACCACCACCACGACTCCTGGAGGTACTTCTGTTGGAACGACGACGACTAGCACACTTCCTGCACGAGTAGGAAATCCGTAGCAGCACAAGCAGAAACCATAGCAGCAATCGTCCATGATCTTGGGCGTAATTACAGCGGAGGGCATGGGCACTTGCACGTACAGTTTTGAGGGCGAGCAGTATGGCCGCAAAAATCCTCAGCAGCCGCTTTGCAGAGTTGCGCCAGTCAGGGCTGGCGGTGCTCGGAAGGTACGGAAGCAATGGAACCACCTTGCAGACATCGTCACCGAGGCTTCGAGGCATCCCTTGGAAGCGTAGGTACAGTCCCAGGCTTCCACGAGTAACAATGCAAGACGAGAGCCACTTTAGAGTTGGGGCCCCCTTTGCCAGACTCGACGCGTAACGCCCGGGCAGATGCTTCTTACGCCGGCAGCCCAGCAGCTTTGTGAAAACCTGTGCTATGCAAATGACAGGAGCACATGGCCAATAAGATCACCCGCGCACGCATGCCAAAAGTGGTAAGACCTAGGTCCGGGGTTCAATACTCGGGGCTCCCTGTCGCCTCTTGGTTATCGGCAGAGAATCTGCATTTGCAGCAGGTGGCCACGGTTCAACTTGTCAGAGAGCTGAACAATGGCAACGTTCCGGCAGCTACTGCCTCTTCGGGACCGCCTAAGCCATACAAAGGCTTGCCACAAAAAGAGGCGGGCGAGGTCGGTGATGGTCTCTTCTGACATGATGTCCCTAGACTTATTTGAGAGGTGCAAAAGCTGATCGTCGAAAGAGCAAAGCGTCGGCATCTCAGTGCTTCTTCTGTCGAGCTCTCCCTTAAGTGGGCGCCGACACTTTGCCATTGCCGTTGTTCCGCTTTGCCCATGCAGGCTCGTTGCAGTTTGCCAAGCATTTTAAGCTCTGAGTGCTGATCCTTGAGGTCGCGAAGCTCCCATGTCGCGGACTGTGGGCGAGGCCCCAGCCAGGACAAGTGCTGCAAGGGAACTTCTTGCAGTTCGAAGCTCGGGCGCGGGGACTGGGTCTGCGACAACCTGTGCATGTACGGGAGGACAAGGAGAGCGAAAAAAAGAGCTTTCTTTTTTTTGTTGGTGTGTTTGTGCGTGTGCGTGTGTGTGTGTGTCTCTGTGTCTGTGCGTTTGCGCATGTGTTTGTATCTTTTCTGTGCGAATACGTATACGTATACTTGCATTCACATGTGTACCTGTACACGTGTGTGTGTGTGTGTTTTTTTTTGT